TTTTTTTTTTTAAAATTACTCTTATTTGTAAACATCTTACTAGTATAAGTCTGTTTAAGAATCTGACTTCGTTATTTCTTGTCAGATTTCTTAAGTATACAAAGGTGTGATTCATTTGCAACATATTTTCTGGTAGGTATTTAATTTTAGCATTTTTCACACTTTATAGTTAGCCTTTTTTCTTTCTGACTTGAATAATGTGGTGTTTTGTCTTTAGCCCTGTGGAGGAGAACAGAGATACAAAGATAATCTCAAAAGATGAGAAAGGTATGTTTCTTTTCAAAAATAGAATTTTGATGATTGCTTGGAGAAACGGGTTTTGTATTGGACTAGGTGTTTCAACAGAAAAGTGTTATCATCAGTGCAGTTGTTAAATATCATAAATTTTTAATTTGTTCTGGATTTTTTTTTTTAATCTATTAATGCTCAAAAAACTATTTTCCTTTTATGCTTTTTCTAAGGATATGTTGCACCCTTTTTTTTTTTTTTTTTTTGCAATTTGTCTTGATATTCAAATGTAGACATTAACACATGGCAAATATGTCCTTAAGGGCATTGAAGATGCTTTACAACAGCTGTTAGTGAGTCAAGAACCTTTGACAATTGTGTTTACATTACTTGTGATTCTTTGTACCGTCTTCTGTTTTGCTGAAATAATTGGAATCTAGTATCTAAGTTCTATAGAAACTTAGAGATGAGCTTTGTCTTCAGATTAGATTTGTGTTATTAAATCTTTGTCCATGCAGATCATAGTTATTGTGCAAATATTCATCATAAGTAAGATGAAAATTTCTTGATAATAGAGTCAGATGCCCACTCCTTCTTTTCATCATACTTCTTCCTTTTAATACATCAGGCTGCTGAGTCTCTGCAGCTTACCCTATGTCTCCATTGTCTCCTACCTGACCAGGGCAGAAAATTCAGAACTGACTGTTAGTGTTGTTCTTGTGTACTGCAGGCAGGTAGTTCAGCACTGGCATGGAAGTTCCAGCAATTCTTGTAATAGGCAAGAAACTCATGACATCTGTCTACTTGACTGGACAGAAAATATGCATTTGGTTTTAACAGGGTTTTACAACACAGACTGAACTCATTGTCAACTGCTTTTTTTCAAGATCTAGGGTTATACCTGTCTGTTCAAGCTACTGGATCTTACTGTCAGCTCCATTGGGGTCTGTTTTGCCTCTTGCTTACAGCCTCTAATCTTGTGTTCTCTTATTGCAGAATATTTAGACGTGTTGTGCGTGCTGTCATTTACCTAAGGACTTAAGTGTTTCAGTGTTTTTTTGTTGTTGTTTGTTTGTTTTTTTGGTTGTTTGTTTTTTGTGGACTGGGAAAACTCTTCTTGAATTTAACATTCAAAATAGCCTTCAGGAACTTGGGTGTTTGGTATCAGCGTTGCCCCTTCCTACCTTCCTCCAAAGGATGTGCTGTGTTCCATAGCATCTGCTTAAAAAATTTTCTGGCTTGGTGAACAGCACTAGGGAGAGGGTAGCTGCTTGTTTATGTAACTCTCTGCATGCAGAGCAAAGCAGTTGAGTGAAAAGAAAGGTACAGAACTATATACAAGACAGTTCTGACTCCTGTGTTGCTATTTCCACACGTGATTGAAAGGATTTTATTTAGAACAAGGAGTTTTCCATGTTCCATACATTCATTATGAATACTATATTAATAAGCATGTAGAAAAAAAAAAAATTATCTCAAGTCTGATGGACTGGTCATCAATTTACATGTATCTGAAAGATGCCTCCAGTGTTGAGGGTTGTTTCTCAATATCTGTATTATTCTAGTTTCTAAGTTAGAAAAGATTTTAAATTCTCATTAAATTAATTTCCCTTAAAATTTCTTTTTCTTTGTCATGGAGAATGTCCTGCACTACCATTGCAGGAGCACCTCTTTAAGTCTTATGGGACGGCAAAAGCTGGAGATTTGAAGACTGATTGAATCTTATTCAGAAAGGACATTAATGTAGTTAAAGTAATCTAAAAAGTTATCAGTAAAATAGAAGACAGAGCTCATTTTTTGTTCTCCAGGATGCTGGTTCCTGTGTAACTGCAGGTGGCTGTTTTAAAATTCTAGAGGAGGTGTGTGGAGTAAAAAGCATGGGAGCCTACAACTCAACTTTTTGAAACACCAAAACAATGTATCTCCCGTGCGTATGCACACATAGCGCACCTTTGTGCAGTTCTTGAGACTAGAAGGTGACAAGCTTAGGCATAGTCTCTTTATGCAAAAGACCTCTCATTTTTTAAAGAGTGACACAAATGATTGCATGCTTCACTAGGGAAATTGTGTAAATATTAACAGCAACATTCTCAGTGCTAAGCTCGTATTTGAGACAATGACAAAAATTATCGGGGATTAAGAGATGGAAAGACACCTGAATAAAATAGCATTTTAGAAAGCTTCTGAAAGAAATGTCTCCCCTTAATGTGATGAAAGCAGTTCTGAGAAATTATATGTATCATCGAAGAGAAAAAAAAAAAATATACAGATGGCTTGGAAGCAGATAGCTGAACTGAAACCTGCTTCACTCCATTAATTGAAGCCTTGGAACGGAACACTGCCAAGACTGATAAAAGGACAGTAAGGACATTTCAAAGTAGACTAGAAACAGTATCCCTGCATAAGCGCTTCACACTGAAACAAAACTTGGAGTTAAGTTCAAACACTTTTTAATCACTAGGTGCTGGGGTTTCAGACATTACAAGTACATAAACATTTATAAAATTAGGGGTTTTCTTTTAGTTGGGATGCCAAATTGGATGTGTGTTCTGTAGTTCTTGCACAGTTAAAGATAGGTCTTTTCTGATTCCTGTAACTGAAGTCACAGGCTTCATACCCCCAACTGTGGAATCTGTGGGTAGAAATAGAGAAATTTTCATGCTTTCTTCATGGTGAATGCCATTTCTTGAGAGATGGGTTTAATCTGCATTTAATCTGCATCCCATCATCATTCCTTTGGAGATAATGAGGGCAAGACATGAGCATACGTGGGTACTAACACACTTCCTGCAACTCGAGCATGTCTTCTGTCTAACTCTTAAGTGCAGAGTTACTGGGATATCCTTGCATGTTTTGAAGAGCCACAGTTACTTCAGAGATGCCCTAGTCTTTCTTTCTCAAAGAATGAAACAATGTGATTTTGTTGCATGTATCAAGGGTTGTAGTTCCATCTTACTGGTTTTGGATTTGTAATGCTACTTGCCTTCAAGAAGGTGAATCATGGGGGAGAATGTTAGGCATTGCATTTCATTCGCTTTATGATTTAAGACTTTGTGGAACTGCTCCTTTTTAATTCAGAAGTAAGTTGTTGAAATAATTAGGATTTGACGTATGTTTTGGTTTTATTTGTTTTCCTGATTAGGTCGCACTGCTAGCGGTTCTGGTAGAAACTTTTGGGTGAGTGGACTGGCTTCCACTACCAGAGCTACAGATTTGAAGAATCTGTTTAGCAAATATGGGAAGGTAAGGGTTTGGTTTGTTTGTTTCACTTGAAACTATCTTAATAAAACTTCTTAAGCTCCTGTCCTGAATATATCAGTGAAAGGAATAAAATTATTAAAAATATAGTGGGGTATCAAGGAAAAACATTGCTGGAGTACATGCTGAATAGCTTTTTTAATTCTGTCACTCATTTCCATACAAATACAAAATTCCATTTAGGGTCTTTTATTTGAAACAGTCAGTGACTGTTTACATATACTTCTGTCTCCTGTGCTGTAGTATAGTATCTTCACCCACTAGAAATTCAGTCAACAGTGGATTTAACATCACCTATGAAAGACTTCCTTAGGAGTAAGTAAAACATGCAGGAAATATGGAAACATAATTATTGGGGAGTATCTTAAGAATTGCCTTGGTATGTGAAGCTTTATTTTTGTCTAGAGTTGGCAATTGCGTTAAAAACCACTTGTGCTGGTAGTTTGCCGGGGGGGAGGGGGGCTGGACATGCTTCTGCAGTGTTATTAAGGATAGACAAAATGGCAAGTTAAATCTCCCCATTAGCTGGAAAATTGAAAGACCCGGTTTAATAGAGGACTGATGTCCTCGGTTAAAGAGGATATCAGAAACATCAGTAAGGTTTTTTGTCAAACCTTTGCTGCTTATTTAAAGATGACTGTCAGCAGGTTTTAGTAAAAGAAGACTATGTACTAGCAATATGCTGTTGAATGGTTAACTAATGAAAATACTCTAGAACATTTATGTGAGTTTGCAATAGGTACAAAAATGGATTAAGTATAGCACAGCTCTGAGTTTTCCTGAAAGTCATGAAACCTTTCTAACATTCCTTGTAACACCAAAAATGCAATACTTTCCTGCCATTTATTTGTTCAGCATTCCATCTAATAACCTGAAACATTTAACTTGGAGATGTACCACAAATTTTTAAATGTAATCAAAAACTATGCAACAGCCAACCCAGTATATGCCTCTACTTAGATGACATGGTAACATTCAGTCATTTAAATAAAATTATTTTCTTTGGAGTATGAGTAGAGGCAAAGCTTCCTAGAAGTAGATGTACATCTGCAATTAATAAAATCCTCAAAAGCATGTTCTTTCTTCAGCTTTACTTTAAAATATGATACCGCTGTGAATTAGGATTGATTTCTGTTAATACGAAGTGAGCTGTGTTAAATATATGAGCATAAATAAGCACATTTATGAAAACAGGTGTTTTATGTGGGCTTTTCCAAGTTACAGTTTTGGGAGAAATGTCCTGTCCCTTGAATGAGATTGTTAATAACACTGTGGGTCTGCAGTGACATGAAAACATCTTTTCAAGGGGATATGGCATTTAACAGTTGAGCTAGCATGAGCATGTGGGTGGAAACTGGCTTACAAATTTTTATTAGGTTTTTACTCCGTTATACATAAGCAAAATTATGTTGTTGATGTCAACTTAGCCTGTTTTCTGAAGAATTTTCTTCAGAACAAAATTCAGTCTTTGACTCCCATCTGCTGATTCAACTTTTGCAGCGCTGTGTTTGCAACAGAAGCAAGATTGGCTCCACATGATGTTCCTTTTGTATTTGTTAATCTCTTAAAAACTGAAGTTTCCTGAAGAAGGATGGATAGGAATAAAACAGTAGAAATGGAGCTTGTACTTCTTGCTGTAAATAGCAGACACTTGTTACAGTGAGTGTAATACATCTTTATTTTGGAAAGGTGGTAGGTGCAAAAGTGGTCACCAATGCTCGCAGTCCTGGTGCTCGCTGTTATGGCTTTGTTACGATGTCTACAGCTGAGGAAGCAACAAAGTGTATTGCTCACCTCCACAAAACAGAGTTACACGGGAAAATAATATCTGTAGAAAAAGTGAGTACTGATCCTCAAAAATGGCCTATTACCATCAGATTGTACAAATGATCAAGATCACATTCTCAGCTGATGTGCAAAATAATTTTCAGGCAAAGAGTGAACCTGCTGGAAAGAAGCCAAGTGAAAGAAAAGAGACTGAAGCAAGGAAAGAAACAGTCAGTGAGAGGTACTGTTCTACAAACTCTCTGTGCAGAGATGTTTTGCTCTTCTTCAGTCTGTTGATTTGTCAGGAAAAACGAGATTGCAGTAAAAATTTCTGTGGTAAACATTCAGGAAGACCAATCGATGCATTTTTCCAGATCTTACTAGAAGATAAGCTTCTGTTCACATTCAGTGCCTAACTTAACACATTTCTGTTATGTGCTTTAAGGTAGGCATTGGAAGGTTGCTCTTCTGAGCATAGCTTTTAAATGAACTGTGTTAGGGTTTTAGTAAAGATTGTGGTGCTTTAATGCCGTAAGTCTGTAGGAAAGGCCATTTGAGAATTTTGATCAGTGACCAGGGTTGGTTATATATTTCTTTCCTTGGAACAGGGCTTTCTCGGGTGATTGTGGTCATAAACAGCTAAAGATCAGTTGTCCAAGATCCTGTTTCCAGAACATGCAGAACTCTTCAGCACTATGCTTTTCCTCTCTAGCATTACTGAAAGCAGCTGAAAGACAGAGAGAACGAATAAGGCACTAAATCCAGTGCTTTAATTATCTTCTTGAGGCATAACTCCTTTTACATGTTATTTGTTGAAAAGTTTTTGCCTCTGTTTCACCTAGTTGCCTGACAAAAATGGTTCATGTCGGCACTTCATAATTGTCGTGTTAGATAAGAAACTTCATGGGCTTTAAGCACATGGTGGTGTGAATTTTTCCTTTTGCCTCCAGTTGAGCAATCTGAATCACAAGCAGGTAATTTTTATGACAACTGCACAGCATGGTCTGATTGTCTTGTGGTGTAGGACATTGTAGAAGGAAATCAAATTGACTGTCGTATCACATCAGAATTCTACTTTGTTACTTTGTTGCTAGCATTCTTCTTTAATTTTTTTCTCTTATTCTGTATTAGTCTAATCTATATCAATATCTATCTCTAGACCTGGCAGTGTTAAAAGGGATGAGAAATCTGACCAAAAAGAGGATCCAAAAAACACAGAAGACAAAGATGAAAAGGAAAAAAAAGATAAAGACGAACTGAAGTCTGGTTCATTAGATCAACCTAAAACTATTAAATCAGGTATTCTGGCTATTGTTTGCTTCAAAGAGTAAAAGATACGGTGAAGTATAATTAATTGTAGGTATTTCTTTCATAAGAACTGCCAATGTTCTAGAATTATTTCAGGTTCTTAGTTGAAATCCAGAAGGTATAAAAATGCAGGGGGAGGAGGGTGTTTGCCATTGTCATCCTTAACAGAAGCACCCAGAACAAGTGTAGTGAGAAAATGATTGTTTTTTTTTTTTTAATTTAATTTTTTTTTAAATGAGGGTTAGGTATCCTGTTTTCACATTTTGGAGAACATGTGGCATAGCAGTGTGTGGTGTAGGTTATGTAGTTTGATTGTTTTTTCCATCTCTTTCCCCTCAACCTCTGATTTAGGAAGTAAAGGAACAGAAAGAACAGTAGTAATGGATAAATCCAAAGGAGAACCTGTTATTAGTGTGAAAACATCAACTGCATCAAAAGACAGAGTAAGTAATGTTTCTGCATGGGAAATGTTATGTCAGTTTTCCTTAGAACCAAACACTGAATCCTGCCAAGCTGCATGTAACCCAAATTCGTCTTACTGATTTGTCCTGTCAGAATTTCTATAATGTGGATTTAGGTCTTAACTAGTAAAATACCCTTCATATGGCTGATACTGTATTCAGCAATGAAATCCCTCCAAACAAAGGTGGGAAGGTTAGGGTTAGGGTTATTGCTGTGTTAATATATGCTGTGTTTGTAATGCTAAAAAAAAAAGGCTTTGTTTAAAAATGCATGGACCAAGCTTTAACACGATATGTTTGAATGGAAACGGAGCTTAGAGTATTGTTTGTGATAGTTGTCCTTTTATGAATGTACTGCATTACATTTCTCTACTTCAATATTAAATACAGAGCATTAAGAGCCAAGATCGCAAATCAGGGAGCAGAGAGAGACAAGGCATTGTGCCATTTGACAAAATTAAAGCACAGCGAAAAATGAGGGAGGCAGAGCAGCGCCGGTAAGAGCAACAGTGAAATTGTTTGGATTTGCTTTTTTTCCTGAATGCATATAATTTTATTAAAATTACTACGAGATAAAGAGGGGTTTGGTTTGGGTTTTACTTGTAATTTGTTTTATATTTGTGGCTCACCTATCTATTGACTTGGGAAAGCTCCAGTTGACTTTGTTAATACTAACCTTAAAATCGTTTGGAAAAAAAATTGCCCTTTGTTTTCTTTTCTTTGTCCCATTTTGTAGATTTTTGTGGTTTAGGTTGATTTCAGTATGGTGCTCTCCTTAGCTCAGCATGCATTGTAGTAGAGGTGAAATTATAACTCTAAACTTCCCATGCTCAAATATACAGGGAAAAGCCAGGAGAAAAGTTGTCTTTCTCAGAATAAGACCTTACCTTTCTTGTGATAGCATTCAAAGTCTCTGCAGTGTTTGAAATAAAACAAGATGTGTATTTTTGTATTTAAATTCATTGTGTCTGTAGAGAAATTGGGGGATTTTCCAGCAAACCTCCTGCTTCCACATTGTATCTTTTTAGTTAGAACCTAATTCAGTTATTTATTTTTTGTGAGGTTTTATTTCTGTTTTCGTTATGTTTAATACATTACACGGTAAAGGTGGTAATGGCCATCCTTCAAATTCCTTACTAAAACCAAGTTCTATGCTAGAATGTTTTCCACACGTTACAAAACTTTATTAACTTACCCAAAGTAAGTTGTATTGGACAGGAGGAAAATGCTTTCATTTTTCTTACGGGAGAGGAAAAAGTTTCAGGTAGACTTCTGAGCCTTAGTGGAGTCATACTGCCCAGCGTACCGCTCTGGCTTCTTCAGAGTTGGACATTTTGAGTAGAAGGAATGAGATTGGGGCATCTGGATTCAAATTCTCCTGACCATATGGGATTATTTGCCCCACAGGTAAGTTTTGTGGGGTAATACGATCAATACAGTTGATCAGTACAATTAATTCAGGAATTCAGATATACGCTAAGTCTCTTCCCTCCATGTCTTCCCTTCTGCCACCACCCCCAGGTATAATTTCAAGAAGCCAAAGCAAGTATGCATTCACTGTGGTTTTAATTTTTAATACTTTTTTTAAATTTTATTTTCTCCCTCCCTTTTTTAACTTCCTTTATTTGTTGAAGTATTGGCTCTGTAACCTTCTGTTTCTGTAAAAATAGCACACGTGAGCGTCGGGAGAGACAACAGCACCTGCAGACTATCCGGGAACGAGAAGAAAGGGAGAGGCTTGAGATTGCTCGTGAGAGACTGGAAATCGAAAGGCAGCGTCTTGAACGAGAACGGATGGAAAGAGAAAGATTGGAAAGAGAACGAATGCACATAGAGCATGAAAGGAGAAGAGAACAAGATCGCATTCAGCGAGAAAGAGAAGAGCTGCGACGCCAGCATGAACAGCTGCGTTATGAGCAAGAACGTCGGTCTGCAATGAGAAGACCATATGACATAGATGGCAGGTAAAGCCAGCAAATACAAATGATGCAAGTGGAAAATGTTGCTGCCAGGTTCTGACTCATCAGTCTGTGCTATAAAAAGTTGTTTGTATGCTCTCAGCTTCCATTAATCAGCAGTTGTTGATTGCATTGATATTATCATGTTTAATAGCCACAGTAAAACTATCCTCTGTGAGGTTTTTTAACTCCCTTTTGAACTTAATTGCCCTTCTTTTAGTTTGCACAGTTTGGAAAGAGGGAACAATATGAAAAGTCGTCATCTTGACTAAAATGAGTGTGTTCTTTTTTTCAGGAGAGATGATCTGTACTGGCCAGAGGCAAAACGTATGGCAATGAATGACAGGTACCATTCAGATTTCAGTCGCCAGGATCGCTTCCATGACTTTGATCATAGGGATCGTGGCCGTTATCAAGACCATTCAATAGACAGGTTAGTGTGTTACCTCCACTCTGTTGCCTGAAATCAAAAGACAAAAATGTATTTAATGTCACATTTTGTGGCCTTTACTGTATGTTCAGTTTGCATTTTATTTAAGGGTGGCTTAGTGGCTGTGGACTTTTTCCTATATAATCATGAAGAGTTCTGTACTGTGACACAAGTTAAACCTTCTGACAAGCTTCTTCAGAGTGTTCTGCTTGCAATGCCATTTCACAAGTCTGTAGGATTCTGAAAAATTTCTAATACTGTAGATATCTAGCATCTTAACAAAAATTTTCTTGTTTACACAGTAGGACTAGCTAGGTTTTCCAAGAATCAAAAATGTGTCACGGTTTCCATATGTTCCAACTGCTTGTGCCTTCTGGTTACATTTTTACTTTTGGTTACATCTACTTTTGTAAATACTGTTGGCACTACACAGAAGCAGGATTTTTTCATCTGTGTTATTACATAGACAGAATTTTCTAGACTGCTGTATGTTTTACTACCACAATCTGATTTTAATTGTCTGTTTGTAGGAGAGATGGATCAAGGACCATGATGGGAGATCGGGATGGACAAGTGAGTTGCTTTAAAAAAGCTACAGAAACATCTTAATTTACAATCTGGTTTTCTGTAGTGTCAGATTAATTTCAGTAGTTAAGAATTAAATAATATCTCCCAAAACATGTATCAATAACCAGATTGTCTTGTTTTCTTTAATAAGATGGCATTTAGTTCAAAGACTTGTTTTTATAAAAGTTAGATACTCTGACACAAATCAAACAAAACAAATGAATTGTGTCAAAAAGGTAAGAGTACTCAAAAAGATTGTGTCGAAGAGGCAAAGGTACAAAGTACACATGAACTTCGCTCTGAGGTTGCACGAAAATAATGGCAAAACCAGCAGAGGTGTTTGCATGCTTTTGAGGTCTGGTGGAAAGACCTTCAGGGCACACTCAAGCAGTGAGAGTTTAATTTTGTGGAGTCACAGAAGCCTCCAGTGCCCTTTACTGATGGCTAAGCTGTGAAACTCAGGACAACCTGGATTGGATAGAGAATTGGGCAGAGAGGAATGTCATTAAGTTCAACAGCAAGAAATGCAAAGTCCTGCTCCTGGGGAGGAATAGCCCTGTGCAGCAGTACATACTTGGGACCAACCAGATGAAAAGCAGTTTTGTGGAGGACCTTGGAGTCATGGCTGACAACAAGCTGACCATTAGACAGCATTGCACCCTCCTGGCAAAAGGAGTCAGTTGCATGAGGAAGAGTGTTGCCTGAAGTTCAAGGGGAGGTGATCTTTCCTCTTTACTCATCCATCTGGCATACTGTGTCCAGTGCTGGGCTCCTCAGTACACAAAAGCTAAGAGCTTACTAGAATAAGTGCAGCCCAGGGCCATGAAGATGATGAAGGGTCTGGAACATCTTTTCTATGAGGAGAGGCTGAGAGATGTGGAACCGTTCAGTCTGGAGAAGAGAAGGCTTAGGGCTTATCTTATCAATGTGCATTAATACCTCATGGGAGGAAGGGCATGGAGATGTAGTCAGGCTCTACTCAGTAGTGCCCCCTGACAGGGCAGTAGTCCATGACAACAAACTGAAACACATGAAATGCCATGTGAAGAAAAAACAAATCAACTGGTTTTGTTTTTGTTTTGTCATCACAACTGTGATGGTGTTCAAACACTGGAATGGGTTGCATGGGGGAGTTGTTTACTGTCTGTCTATGAAGATACTCAAACCCCAATGGGAGACTGTTCTGAACAGCCTGCCCTGGCTTGAGCAGGGGGTTGGACTAGATGATCTCAGGAGGTCTCTTCCAACCTAAATGATTCTGGGAACGAGTAGTTACATCTGAGCAATTTTAAACAATTAAAGAGTCTGTTTTGGGTAGTCCTGTAAGTGTCTTTGCCTTTTAGCATTATCCAGATGAGCGTCATGGAGGACCAGACCGTCATTCACGAGACTCTCGGGAAAGTTGGGGTAGCTATGGATCTGACAGAAGAATGAGTGAAAGTAGAGGGATACCCCCACAGTCACGGTTAGTAGGCCTAACTGAAAATACTGCATCTTGTGCCTCTAAGGCATATTTCCACATGGGCAAGTGTGATGCAGTTTTTGGAAGTATGATTCTTTGTTCCAGCTTTCCCGAGTCTGTTCCCTGGATGGATTGCAAAGAAGTAGCTCTTTCAGCTTGCTTTGTGCATCAAAACATGCATCTGGGCATAATTTGCTTTTTAATAACTTCACATTTTTAATTACTTTTACATAATGTTACTATCAAAACTTGGTATTTTCAGGGTGGTGGTTCTTCCCCACTTTGTAGTTGTTGAAAGCACCAATTCAGTCAAACTTTGAAAGGAAAATAAGTTAATTGTTCTACTTGAATCTATTTTGCATGCTCTGGCTAGTGTGAAAAGGTATGAATTTCATACTTGTGCAGGGATGGACGTGACTGGGGAGATCACGGTCGAAAATTTGAAGGGCATCAAGATCGCTCATGGCAGAGCAGCGTGGATGGAGGAATGATAGGACGGGATCATGAGAGATGGCAAGGTATGCTTCTTGCACAACAGCTCATTAGTTGTGCCACGTAAAGCAGAAAATACAGGCATTATTATCCTTGGAGATGAAGTAGAACTATTACTGTGGATATAAAGGAAGCATTTGAACTTTTTTAGGTGGAGGTAGAGGCAGACCTGGCCATGTGATGCATCGTGGAGGCATGTCAGGGTAAGATCTTTTAATAACAAAGAACAAAGTGTTTGTTTCCCTTTTAAGGGGCATCTCTTTTATTTAAATTGGAAAAAAAAAAAATTATGGGAGCATCAGTTAACCTGATTGGTTATTTAAATGTAAAGGAATAATAAAATATTCCCAAGTTTTTTATGTAGTGCATCTTACTGAAGAGTGAAAAATTACACAAAAAGCTTTAAAAGGACAGCTGTTACATCAGCTTGACTAGCAGAGTCACAAGCAAGAATTAATGTCTGAATCTCTTTCTAGGCGTGGAGGTTTCATGCAGGGTGGCAACCAAAGTCAGATGATGCATGGAGGAGGAATGCAAGAAGGATTTGCTGGCCAGGAGAGAGCAAACAGACCTAATGATCCTCGTTTCAACCGTCGCTACTGAATGTGTTTTAATTTTTAATGCAAGATGGCAACTGAAATGAATCTGTTACCCAGGGTTACAATTAATTGTAACTTACGGGCTACTCTTAAGTGTAATTTTTCTTTTTTTTTTTTTTAAGCTGCTGCCATATGTCACTCAATCCAATGTGAACTCATTTGTTTTGTAATGTGTTGTTCATATCCCATTCAAAATGTTTGTTAATGAAGCATTCCATTTTCCATAAATAAAAGTCAGTTTACAATTATTTCAGCAGTCCCTGGATGTATCAAAATGCCTTTGGTGTTTGGCACCATGCCACTCTAGCAGTACTGAGTACCATCATGATCAGAAATTAAAAGATATTGGGTAACCTGAACAAGAGAAAACATTTTACTGTGAGGGTGCTCAAATGCTGGTATAGGTCATCCAGAGAATTTGTGGAGCCTGCATCCTTTGAGGTCTTTAAAACTTGGCTGGACACAGTCCTGGGCAACCTGTTCCAGCTGACATTACTTGAGCATTAAGGTTGAACTAGATTATCTTAACAGGTCCCTTCCAAACTCAACAATCCTGTGAGTTGCAGCACGGGTACTATTTTAACAGTTCAGTTTATACACTGCCACTCAGTCTGCTCAGCACAGGAAGCTGATGAGCACCCTGCTGTGCCTACAGTTATTTCTACAGGTAACTAGACTTGGTGAAACATTCACCTTAAATCTAGCAACTGTATGAAAGGATCAGTCCCTTATTGACTTTACACACTGTCACTGAGATTTAGCAAGAGGACAATAGATGTACTGGGTCAGATGAAAAAGCCCTTCTTGATATTTTTCTTTTAGAGGCAGGTGCATAAAAAAAATGTTCTGCAACGGGGCACAGGTAGAGTAATCCTTCATCAGGTGATTAAGCTCCTAGTATCTGGCACTCGCAAGGTTTACTGAGCTGTAGTGTCCATTTAAACCATTAGGTTTAAGAGCCTCTCATGGACCCAACCTGCAGGACTTAACTTAAGCACCTTGTTATAGCTATTTATACCTTAGCCAATTCCTCTGAAATCTCTTGGCAGCAAGGTTCATCTTATAACTATTCATTTAAAAAAGGAAACAAAATCCCTGCAGCTCTTCCTCCTTGTGTTTTAAATCTTCTTCCTAATCTGAGTAAGCAAGCACTCTTCTGATTCTCCCTGCCTGTTTCTTGTCCTGTACCTGTGTCAGCTCATTCTGTAGCTAGCAGACTAGAACAAGGCAACTGTGTTAGCAAATGAGTGTGGGAGAAATGCTGACTGCCACCAGCAGCAAGGATGGTCTCTGGTCCTAGTTTTGGAATTATGAGCAGAAGCTCTGAGACAAATGGCAACCTAAGGTCAGAGAGATTATAAGCTGGGTATTTACAATAACCCATCTGACATACATACACACAGAAGTGTATTTACAATAATCCCCTCTGACAATATGCTTCCTGTGAGGCAGGAACAGTTTTATACTGATGCTATTTCATAATGACTTCTGCACCCTTAAACCACAACCCCATTGTAAAGGGTTAAAAATGCTGAATAGATATGTAACTCCACCTTGTCACACAACTAAGAGTGTGTTCTAAGTCATAAACCGCTTGGAAGCAGCTTTCACATCAATACTGTGCTCTTCATCCAACAGAGACACTCCTCCCTCAGCTAGCTTGAAGACAAGTGCTTTGTCTTCAAACAAAATCTTTTCCAGTTACCTTGGATTTTTTTTTAAAACTGTTGTTGCCTTACTTTGATTGAGATGGCATTCACCTTAAAGATTAATTCAGCTTCAAAATACCCTGTTCAGTTAACAAGCTTGGCAGCTTTAGAACAGGGGCTGCATGGCCCTGCTGCGTACAGCCAGCCCTTCATTACAACTGATCCATGGTCTCTGCTAGAAACTCTGACTACTGGTAAGTCAGAACACAATGATTGCAATCTGTACGCTAAAACCAAGCCAAATACAAATGGAAGTTCCAAAGTCTTTTATTGTAGTCCTTGCACAGCGGAGCTGCCCTCCAGAGGGATGGACTATGCATCATCCTGAAGACAGCAGAGGATGGAATCATGAACCCTGAAGAAAGTGTTCATTTGACCAGATCCTTCACATACTTCCAGCCTTCCACAGTGTATTCACAGGCCCTGGTGGGAGCTACAGACAAGGCAGACATGACTGTCTGCACTCCTGCAAGGAAAGCAAAGAATTATCTCGAGAGCATCATTCAAGCCAAATTTCCTAGTGTAATTGTAGCACTGTAAATCTCTAAACACAGAAACATCTATCTCAGCTCTCAAACACATTGAGGCCTGAACAATCCTTACTTCAAGCACAGCTTTATTGTCTCAGCAGCATTAGTGCCACAGAAAAATTCCAACTTCAGGACCAGTACAAGGAAGAGACAATTACGAGACTGACATAAACAAAAGAGCTAAGTTCCATTTTATTTCTGGCCTTGCCACAGACTCCATGGGTGATGTTGGACATGT